TTCGTTCGTTCGTTCGTTCGTTCGTTCGCTCGCTCCCTCGTTCGTTCGTTCGTTTGTTCGCACTTTCGTTCGTTTGTTTCATTCAAGCAAGAGTTTTACTTATCTTGATAGGATGGTAGTACCTTGGTCATCGAGGATGGTATACTCAACGTGTTAAAGCAAGCCAACAAACCTCGAGTAAGTAGGAAACTGGCGGAAATTCAAACATTATCGTTCCTAGTTTTTCCTTCTTTTTTCTATTGTACTCCAAATTCGTTTTATTTATTTATTATCGTTTTATTTATTTTCCAAGACCAATGTTTTCCCTTCTATTTTTTACTCCATTCCTTTTTTCATTCCTTCCTCATTTCATCTCCTACTCTAGGCTGTAGAGTTACACCTTAGTGAGACAAACCTAAGAGTGATCGATACGGAAACTTCTAAAGTAAGTAGACCATCACATAAAGAGTGCATATAGCTATCGTGACACGAAAGAAAAACGTCTGCGCACTCTCTTAGCCTGTATGCAAATCATTAATTCCAAACGTCTTCATGCATTCCTTGGGGTGTATGTTACGTCATAGCCGCCATCTTGGTTAACAATAACAAATCCTTCTTCATTAATTGCTCATGTTGGATCAACTAAAATGGCGGCCGGCAGTTTCCATTTTATTTATATCTCAATGGATTTTGAGCCATGGCGTTGCACCCCAACAAATGTAAAAAAAAGAAAAGTTTTGCCTTTCAGACATGACACGAAAAAGAAGTTTCACAAAATTGCAAAATTTAAAGTCAGTTAATTAAGATTAATTATTAAGTTATTGTTTTATTTTTTACAATATCCTGGTCTCACGACATTTAAATACCCATTTGCTTAACGAGCATGTYTTTTAATTGTAAGATATATCTTCAAGGAAAGCTTTGGCAAATGTGTGTCGATATGGCACATGCGTTATCGTCCTACAGCTTGAATATACCAATGTTTTGAAATCCCACAGGCTTTTATTGGTATCTATAAATAGCCTATTTATGAAGAAGGCTAGACGTGTGCAATAAGACCGTTTTCTCAAGGATGCGTGCGCATCCAACTTGACGGGCCACAAAACTGAAAAACGCAAATCCAGTAAAATCGATAAGACAGTTTAAYATTTAAAGAGGAAATTAATTGATTTTAGGAATTCTTATCGAAAAATTTTCATGGCAATGCATGATTAAATACTCGTGTTCTGGTATCGTGGACCGTCAAGTTCCTCAAATTTGGATGCGCACGCAACCTTGAGAAAACGGTCTATTGAGTCTTTGTCATCAAAAACAGTGGTTTGCATTGAAATATAAAGAGGAAAAGTCTTGTGATGCTATAAGGCTTCAGTGTCCTGTACACACTTCATGTACCCCTCTTCATTTGTTCCAGGTTCTTTCAGCCCACTCCTTCACCGAAACCTCTTCTTGTGGTCGAAGAAGCGACAGAAAGGACATCATTGCATTTGTGTCAGGGTACGTACTATATATACCTATTTCCTAATCTGACACCATAGAAAGTACCTTGGCATTTGGCCAAGAAATTTAAAACACAGCAATACATTGTACTGCGCACATGAGAATATCCCCGTTACCATGGCATTCCTCGTATCATCAGCCAATAATAAAAGAGCAACGATCCTCGCATGTGATATCGCCGTTGCCAAGCCTTTTCATGTATTAGCCAATAAAAATGGCGCACAACTACTCGTGCAGTGCACGTCAAGATGTTATCATGGCAAGGGTGTTGAAGCGATGAGAGCGCCGGGCTCGATGTGGTATGTGAGTAAAGATGTTTGTTGGTTCTCTCCTGTGCTTCGAGGGTGTGCCTAAAGCTTCTTTGGTTTTTCTTCTTCGTAAAAATCAAGTTCTAAATTCCATTAGACGACTTGCACCACCAGGTCACGTGACCCATCCCCCATAAATCAAGCAAATGAGCCAAAATGAACTCCAGAAATGAAAAGAGCACCTCAAATTTAGTGAGAGGACGAAGTTTCAGTTCGAAATGTTGACTATAGAAGAAATGACATTATATTTAACAGATCAAAAACAGTTTTCCATGTTTGATACTCTGATCAAAACACGCGGGATGTTGGGAGAACACGAGAGGAGCGTAGGAAACCACGACGCGTAGAGGAGTGGTTTCCAGCTTCTCGAGTGTTCTCCCAACATCCCAAGTGTTTTGATCAGAGTATCAAACACAGAAAACTGTTTTTAATTTGTTTTATAACAAACGCGCGAAAAGATCGAAAAAAGCAAAATCTAAGTAAATTCTCCCTACGTGCCGTCTTATTCAAACTGACCAATGAGCGCGCGCGATAGATTAAAAATGACGATAGCGTGTTTTGATACTCTCATCAAACATGGTTTTCGACCAATCATAGCGCGCGTAGTATCCCAATTATTTTATAATATAGAATCAAATATCTTACAAGGATTTGTAGTATGGGAAAAGTGTTGGCTGGTAAGCTTTCGTAATCCAGCGCATTTTCCCACACAAATCCTTATAAAACATTCAATTTTATATCTAATATCATTTCTTCTGTTTCGCTTATTATGAGCTAAAACTCTGCTAATATGGAAGTGCTCTTTTCATTTTCTTCTTTTTTTTTTTTTTTTTTTTTTTTTTTTACTTTAACAAAAGGGTAGGGTCACGTGACCGGTTAGTGCAAGTCGTCTATTGTAATACAGTGGAAGAAGAGCCACACAGTGTGGAATCCACTGTTAAATCCCATTATGGTTTTCCTTACACCAATTTTTATCGTTTGAAAAAAAATTTTTTTTTTTTTCATGTTGATGTCCGTCCTTGTAAAAAAAACATCGTCTTACATGACATACATGTTGTGAGATACGAATCTCTGATCATTTTCTTGTGTTGAAAACTATTATCGTTCCTGATAATTGTCTTGTTAACTGTTTTACAGAGATATGAACTGTGCCATGGCCAAGAAATTTTACTRCTATGTTTTCCAAGTAAAAGATCCCGATATAGTAAGTAATGTAATACCGTTTTATCCTAATAAATCTCCTCCTTTTCCGAAATGCTGGTTAACATACTACTCAATAGGCGCTATGTTGGACGAGACTGAACGATGCATTCGTATTACACAAGAGATTGGCACTGATTTATTTGCATCATTGGTTAACAAGCAAGCTTCATGCAGTTGCCAAACCAAAAGAGTTATTCAATTTTACGAGAGCAAATGTTGGAAACCCTTGTGAGAAATCCTTATAGGCATGGATTTGTATCGTCATGTCATCCAAAGTGGTGGCCACGTCTTTTGTTATGCTATAGCACAACCCATGCTCAAAAAATAAGGAAATGGTTATTTAAACCAGGACTAAAACCTATTTTGTTTTGCAGGCCAAGGTCATTCTATACAGCATTGGTGAGTAAACTAATAACTTTTCAATGCTATGAAAAAATACCTATACGTATGAGTCCAACCATATGTATGATGAAGACTTCGATCAATATCCCACTTTTTCTTGGTTTCAATCGCGCCAGATTTACAGTCTTGAATAAATTATAACAACCAACCAATCAGCAAAAAACTAGCAGCAATTTTTTCTCGATTGCACTTTACGTCATCGTGGCCATGTTGGTGCCAATTGATGGTTTTCACGGCGGCCATGTTGGAGGAACTTAACAAAAGAATTGTCAATGAATTCTTTTGTTATATCCTCCAACATGGCTGCCGTGTCTTTTGTTATTTAATTCTCTAGGGAATGGTTGAAAACCATCAATTAACAAAAGATTTCTCATTAGCATCCGTTGTTAACGACACCACAATGACCGCCATGTTTTTGTCTTTTGACTCTCTTGGGAATGCTTGCAACCTGTGCCCCATATAAATAACTCGCTAAAATAATTCATAAACTCTCTTTTGGCGAATGAATAATTCGCGAGGCAAATACCTGTGGAAGTTTAGTGTTTAACTTGGATTTTTCTCTTTTGTTTCAGCTGATGGGTTTTGTCGAACTGTCTGGTTTGTTTGAGTAGCTGTCCCAAAACGTACAGTGTCTTGGCTGTTCTTCTCAAGTCAATCATATTTCTAAATGTTTGAAGGTTTAAGGAACTTAATTTTCACTTAACTTTCAGATAATTTTTTACCAAATTTCTTATTAACTAGATATAACTCTCTTTATTGCAATTTAAATCTCTCTAGCTTGGGTGTAATAAGTGTAATCATTGCAGACAACGTGTAATTGTCTTAAGATTCTTTGTGTGAGTTGTATCCATATTTTTGTCTTCTCATGTGCAACCGTTAAGCAAAGAAATCATACTCAAGAGAATGGCACGTGTTCTGAAATAAAATAAGAACATTACATCTAAGGTAAGAATGGCTGGATTTTCGGTGGTTTTATTGGGTAGACTACATCCAGTGTTGTAATTAATAATTGCACGTACGACTGTACGACCAACACCGCCTCGCAGACGTTTGTGCTAGCTTCTTAATTTCTTAATTTCAGCTGATCTAAAATATACTAACTCACACCATTATTTATTAGCCATTCCGAGGCTGAGGAAAATACTGGGTCGATTGGCATTGCATTGCACTGTTGAGCTGTTTAGGGGCATACTTTTCAAGAGGGCGGGCATTTCGTACCCTAAAATACCTTCAAAAAGAATCTAAAAACATTACTTTTTGATTTATAAGTTAGCATTATCCCTCGAACTGTTTATTTTTGTTTCTGTTTTTCTGTCTTTTTATTTTCCTTTGTTTTATTTTTTGTACAGCGCGCCGAGATCGTATGGGGCTGCGCTATATAAGAACATCTTTATCATTAATATTATCATTATTATTATATAGCTTCTCGTTAATCCCATATAGGTAACTGTGCAATTATTTTCTTTATTACATCCATTTTGAAATCACAAGCAAATCCTGCAATCTGATTGGTTCCCTGCAGCAGTGATTTCAGCATAAATTGCACGATTTTGAGCTCTAAATTGCACGATTTTGCACATCAACTGATATGAACCAATCACAAGAGAG